CAAGTTGACAAGGGATTTTCCCATCAAGATTATTATAACTGAGATCAAGATACCTTAAATTTGTAAGGCTTCCAAGTTCATAAGGGATATCTCCATGGAGAAGATAATTGTGACTTAAATCCAGAGACAATAAATGTGTAAGGCTTCCAAGTTGGGTAGGAATATTACCACCAAAATAAGAATAGGAGAGATTGAGATATCTTAAGTTGGTAAGTGAGCCCATGAGTTCTGGGATGTGACTCTCTATAAATTCATTGTTGCTGATATCCAAATGTTGAATATTTTGCAAGGAAAACAGTGAAGTGATATTGACTGCACCACTCAAATATTGTGTATCCGAACCACGGAGACGAAGGATGGTTACATGACCTGTTTGATGGTCACATTGAATGCCTTTCCATTTGCAACAATCTCGACTGTTGTCGTCATCTCTCCATGTAGACAGCAGCATGTCATGGACATCTATGAGACCATGTTTGAAGTTGAGGAGTGCCTGTCTCTCCCTCTCAATGCACTTTATTTCTGCGCTATTGTTGAATCCGAGAATGGATTCTGCAGCAAGCAGCAAGAGGAGAAGAAGTCCACAACAGAGTTTAGGAAAACAATTAGTCATTACTTTTTTGGTGATACTAAATACGTAAGAGTGAAACAAGGACCTTGAATTTGATCAGTCTACTCTTAATTGTGAAGTGTCTAAACCAAAACGATTGAATATATAGAAGTGTTTTGGTAGAGTATAGTGCTTCCGGTAGTTTTTGTTGGGCTCCATGCCAGTAAATAGAAAAAGAGTTTTCACACCAATAATTGGACTATTTGCTTGGAATCTTTGAATACTTCCGACCCCAGATAACCCACAATCATAGGATTTATATTCACTTAGATATATTATACGTATTTGAACTGTTTATTAAAACAAACAATGACTCTGAGATTCACTTTTTGGATTTTTCAAGAAAAAACATAAGCCTTTGTTCGTTTGAATAGATTATACTGTTCAAACGGGTTTGAGAGCGAAGAAATGAAACGCGACCGTGTTCGTTTCTGCTGATTTGCGAGGATGGATTATAGTGGATTTGCGAGATACGTCTGTATATGGTCATTCGTATATATGCGACGATTTGCGCTGATTGTGAATAAAATTTCACTTTTGCCCTTTAACACATTTGATGCCAGATGTGATCACAGACGCTGTGTCCAATTACAGTTATTAGAAAAAATATTGAATCAGTTTATTCGATTACGGGACTGCGTAATCGGTTACACTGCAGCTACAAATATATATGAATGGTGGATGGTGTATTCGATTACTGATTCTATAATCGGTTACGCGTGAATATATAATTTGGATTTTTGTGTGAATCTATGCTCCATCTTTCTCTGTTCCCTTACCTAATAATAAATCAATCAATGAATTTAATTCTCTTTTCTTTTTCTACAAATCGATCGCTTTCGTCTGAGGAAAAACTGAAAAAATACTCCAATAAGTTTGTTCCTTCTTCTATGCTTTCGGTTTTTATTTTTAAGCAAAATTGCAACAATATTTGTTTCTTTTTTGGT